TCAATCTGAGTGGTTAATAATGCACGTAAGTATGATGATAGTGGGTTACGCAGCTCTTATATGTGGCTCCTTATTATCAGTAGCACTTATGGTCATTACCTTTAGAAAAAATGAAAATATTTTTAAAATGAATTATATTTTTTCGGCTAAAAATTTTTATAAGATTCAATTAAGTAAAGAATTGGATTATTGGAGTTATCGAGTTATTAGTTTAGGGTTTATCTTTTTAACCATAGGAATACTTTCGGGGGCTTTGTGGGCGAACCAAGCGTGGGGATCTTATTGGAGTTGGGATCCTAAAGAGACTTGGGCTTTTATTACTTGGATAGTGTTTTCAATTTATCTACATACTCGAAGAAATAGAACTTTCGAAGGTGCTACTTCGGCAATTGTGGCATCTATAGGTTTTCTTCTTATTTGGATATGTTATTTTGGAGTCAATTTAATTGGATTAGGTCTACATACTTATGGTTCATTTTCGCGAACATAAAAAAAGACATTAATTTTTTACTTCGTGAAAAGCTAAAAATTTGTGAAACCCGTGCTCTCAAATAAAAATATTTCCTATTTGAGAGCACGGGTGTTCAATAAAAATAGAATGAATTCAAATATACTTTTCTGGACCAGATCAATAAGCGAGACCCATACTGCGAGTTGTTTCATGCCATAAATAAACTCGAACACTCAAGAAATCTGTTGGGCAGGCGGATTCACATCTTTTACAGCCTACACAGTCTTCTGTTCTCGGAGCAGAAGCAATTTGTTTAGCCTTACATCCGTCCCATGGTATCATTTCTAAAACATCGGTGGGGCAGGCTCGGACACATTGAGTACATCCTATACATGTATCATAAATCTTTACAGAATGTGCCATTGGACGAATAAATTTATAAACTTTATGAATTATCGATATAGTATCCTCCAAATATTATTTTATATCCAATATAAAATTATAAGATACTTGGTTTTTAGATACTATATGACTCAATGAATTCTCAGAAGGATTCTAATCAATAGATTTCTGGATTGGTTTTGAAAATAAAAAAAAATTATTTTATGTTTTAATATTATCATTTTTTTATAACTACGCAAACTACCTACAAACTACCTAATAGGGTAAATAAGGATTCTTTTTTTAATTAACTCAATCTATTGTTTTAAAGTTTTAAATAAATACTCCCTTCAAATTTATACAGTAAGAATCAATAGACAAAAGGACATGATGTCTTTCTATTCACTACCCCAAGCTATTCTTTTTTAATTGTTTCAGTAACCATATTGTTGTTCTAAATTTACCTCTATAATAGGTTTGAAAAGCTATGCAACTTCAAAATGAATGAGTTTTTGTCTCTCTAATCTCCAATTTATCAATTAATTCTTTATAGCGGAATTTATTTTTTTTTGATAAATAAGCTAAAAGTCGTTGTCGTTTCCCCAAAATTTTACGTAAACCTTTTTGAGATAAATAGTCTTTTTTGTGCAATTTCAAGTGGGAAGTAAGCCGGTGTATTCTATTGGTGAAATTCCATACTTGAAATTCAACGGAACCTCTGTTTTGTAAGTTTTTTATCATAAACTAAATGAACTCCCTTCATTGATATATAATATGCATTTAAAATAATTTTTTATAATTAAGTTCTAGATTCATTTCATAGATATGAAATAATTGATTAGTAACTAAAACGAACGAACAAAAAATAAAGAAAAAAAGGATAATATTATTTACTTTTATTCTATATTATAGAATAAATCAACTTGACAGAAATGAGTCCAATGTTTTCTTATTTTTTTTGTAAAAAAAACTTTGAAACTTACCCGTTAAAAGAGATTTTGCTAATGAAAGAGCTTTTAATCTTACCTCAATAGTCTTTCTTTTCCAAATGTTCTTACGAATACGCTTTTTGGCTTTCGAAATACGTTTTTTTGGAACTGCCATTTCAAATGATTTACAGGTTATCACTGGATGTGAAAGACATTTATTGCTAAAAAGGAATTCTTCTAACTAAGTCTATCAATTCAAATCAAAAGAAAACCCTTTCTTTTAGGGTTCATTAATAAAATCAAAGTGAATTTTTTCAACTTAATATTCTTTTAATGAGGTACAATATATCTATATAGATCTAGATAGATATATGGTATCCTCAATTCAGTTAGATCCAAATTAAAATGAGGTATAAAATAGGGTATGTGTCCATATTGGTTTTCATCTAACCTGCTACCATCTACCCTGCTACAGGGTAGATAGTACTACTATCAATTAAATTTCCACCAATTTAAATTCAATGGTAAATACATATGGATCCTTAACATACTGAAACGACTCCCATTATTAGTATAAAACCAATAACGATTCATACAAGCTAAATCTTCCAATCGATAATTAGGCCAAAGAAAAAATTCAATTAATTTATTTTGATCCTTAGGCCCAGGGTTGCTTTCTTCCCAAACTTTATTTTTGTTGGAAACTAGAGAATTTGCATCCACGCCATTCCATTTGTGTGAATTGAAACAAATTAGAGTTCTTAATTCTCTACGACGCCTAGATGATAAAATATTTTCAATAAGAAGCGGATCACAATTATTGTTCTCTCGAGCGCGAATTATTCTTTGTTTTACGTCTTCTTTATTAAGAATTTGTTTACTCTTATGAACCAACGAAATAACTATCGTTTCATACATAAGAAATTCTCCATTTGGTTTGATAGACAGCGGAAGGGGGTCGACCAAAAATCCCGTCTTTTTTAAAAATTCTGGAACACTCTCTTTTGAATCTGGAACACTCTCTTTTGAATCTGGAACATTTCTTTTTGAATCTGGAACACTCTCTTTCTGATCCATCTGTGGCATTAGACCCAAATTTAACTTTTCCCTTAGAATCCATGATAGCATCATTTTTTTTCGATTTATCATTCTAAGCAAGAGACAATAGATTTGGAGATCTTGGAAAAGGCCTTGATTTAAAGTAAAATCCTCTCTAAATTGAAAAAATAAATAGTTTTTCATGAATAACTCTAGTTCTATCTCAGTTTGACTTTTCTTTTCACCTTCAGTTTCACCTTCAGTTTCGCCTTTGGTTTCACCTTCAGGTTTACCTTTGGTTTCACCTTCAGGTTTACCTTTGGTTTCACCTTCAGGTTTACCTTTGGTTTCACCCTGAGTTTCACCTTTGGTTTGACCCTCAGGTTCACTTTTGGTTTGACCCTCGGCTTTATCTTTTTTTTTACTCTCAGTTTTATCTTTTTTATCTTTCTGAGTTTTACCGGTCTTTTGACTTGTCATTTCATTAAGATTCAAATTTGAAATAAGTGATTCGCTTGGTATAATCCATGGTTTCAGTTTATATAAATTAACAAACCACACAAATTCTGGGAAAACCAAAAGTTCCTCAGCCGTTAATGGACGGTCGAGTATTTCTTCATTCAGTCCCATCCAATCCAATAAAGAATTTCTAGAATGGAGTCGATTCATTTCGGTATTTTTCTGAATCAAAAGAGCAAAAGGATCTTTTTCGTTTTTAAAAATTTGCTCAATTTTCAAAATTTCTTCCATTTTATCAATTAATTGATAATTGTAAGTGAAAATTGGAGTATTTTGAGTATTGTTATAATTACCCGTGATCCAGGACTCAATATTCGCTTTTTTTTTAAGAGAAAAATCAATATTTTTCCAATTCAAATATTTTCTATCGACATCTTTTTTTGGATATGGAATATTTAACCTTTCTATTTTTCCTCTGAAACTAGTGATAGGAATATTTTTCGTTATCGCAAACAAGTTGTTTTGTGACATCTTGTAATGATAAGAAATTGCTTCCCGTTTAGCTCCTGGAGGGGTTCCACTATTTTTTTCATACTGAATGTATTGATATGCTAAAAGATCATATCGATAGCATTTTTTTAAATTATCTTTTGTTTTTTTATTCAAGACTGAGTTAGCATCCTTTTGTTTCCTGTAAGTATTTAATTTTAATTTTTTACCGGAAGTCCTTTTGTCTAAATATTTTTGTTTAGACCTACGATAGCGATTCGCCCTATTTCTCCATTTTTGTTTTTGTGATCTTAAGGCAGACCAGAAATTAGGAGATAAATCGTAGTGAGAATTCCCTTTTAACCAAAATTTCCATTGACTCGTTCTAGGCCGCTTAAGTTGTTTTTTTATTCCTTCAGATGGAAGTATTCCTTGTGTATGAAATGAGTCTTTTATTTTCTTTTTAATCAAGAAAGATGTTCCATTTTGTTGAAGAACAGATATGAAATTACGTACGTTCAAAAAACCCCTTTCTGATATTTTGTACAATACATATGCTTGTGACAAGTTGGATAAATCACCAAAACTCTCTGAATTTTCCTTATAAAGCTTATTATTATGCGTTTTTATATTTGAATTTGAAAGAGAGTTCATTTTTGTTGATTCCACAAAGACTTTTTGAGTCATTTGGCAAATAGATATAGTATATAAAAAAATACAATTAGATATTCTTTGAATAAATAATTTTATAAAATAATTAAATTTATATATTAATCTATTTTTTTTTTTTTTCAACATTTGACAAAAATTTTTTGACAAGGCTAATCTCGAACTTTTTTTGTAAGGGTTCATATCAAGTTCTAGAGTGACCCTTTTCTTATCTTCCGTAATTCTTTCTAGTTTTTTTTTAATTGTACTTGTCCTATGAGTGATAGCCTGCATTTTGTCTATCGGTGAATAATTTTTCCAATCTGTAATTTTTTCAATTTTACTCAAGGGTTGATTCATTATCTGGTTATTTATTAGATCATCTTTTTCATTTTTTATTACACTCGGGTGTATTGTTCTTGTTTCTTTTGAACTTGTGTTTTTTTTTGAAAACTTTTTTAAAAATTTAATTTTTACTTTTACAAATTTGTAAAGTTCCTTAAAAACAGGCTTAAAAAACGAAGGTTTTTGTCGTGGATGACCAAAAGGGTGTTCTGTTTCCCTTCCCCAAACTGTTAAAAAACAAAAGTCATCACGAGAATTTAGCGATTTATATTCGTGCCAAGGTTTGAGACAGAAAGGAAATAAAATTTTGATTTGAATACCTTCTGTCAACCAATTTTCCGGAAATTTTTTGTCAGCTAACGGAATACCATTATAAGTACACTTCACATGCGTTTCTCTATTCCATCCCTTTAAATCTTCAGACCATTCAGGAGTTTGAAATAGTAGCATACGCCCGATATTTTTACCGATTATGAATGAAGGTAATAGAATCTTTTTTCTGAGAATTGATTGGGTTATTAATAAAAAACCTCTTATTATTTGGGTATATGGAAAAGTCTCCCAGGCTTCCCCTATCTCTAACCGTTCTATTTCCTCTCGTCGTTTTTTTTCCTTTTTGGTTTCTCTTTTTATTATTATTTTTTTTTTCCTCTGTAGATTCTAAAATCCCAAACTCTTTTATGGATGACCATTTTCTAAAAAGCCGTTTCAGTTGAGCCAGGTATGGTAGAGAAAAAAAGGTTTTTTTCCTCATCCTGTCAAAAAAAAGAGGGGAATGCGCATTTGCTTTAAAAAAGTCCCTCAATAACTATTTTACGTCTTTGAGTTCGCATAGAGTCTTTTATTAAGCCTTGGCGAAAATCAGATTGGTGCGGATATCGTAATAAAAAAAGCTTATTATCCTCATCTTCCTTTTTCTTTTTAATATTTTTATCTTTCTCATTATCGTCGGATTTTATAGCTTGAATATTTGTATCTTTTGTATTCTTATCTTTGTTTGTAGTCTTATCTTTGAGAGTCTTAGGTTCTTCAAAAATTAATACACTGATCCTTTTCTTGAACGAATATCATGATCATCTGTGGATTTGTAAAATACGATATTTGTTCCAATTCAGTTATTAATTTGTATGACCATCGGGGACTTTTTTACCAATTTCTTCTTTACCTATTTTTTCTATTGCAGAAGATTTTTTATCGTCTGTCTCAATTGCATTTACTAAAAATTTTGTTAGTTGTTCTGAATCCGTTAAATTGAAACTTGATGATAAAGTTGAGAACTCACCAACTTGTAATGGTTTTTTTTCCTTTTTTTCAAAAGTAGACATCAACAATAAAGCATGAAGTCTATTTAGCATAACCTTCTCTCTCAACTTTTTGATCGAAGTATCGTTTATCGACGTGATATCTTTTTTTATTCTTCCGCGGGAAGGCCCATTTAACAAGGGATCATACTTTTCTGGTAAGTATTCTTTTCTAGTCTCATCATTGTGTATACATAATCGCGTTTTGTTTGTTTCAATTTCGATTATTGGAACTGCTACTGGTTTGTCAAGATTTTTAATTCGATTAGCAAATCAATTTTTATAGAATTTAATTTTTGTTTGTTTCTAGAAACCCAAAAATTGTCCAATGTATTAGAAATATCTTTTTCTAGTGACAAAAGGGGTATCTTTGTTTTGATTATTTGAAAAAACGTTGATAAACTTATCGGATGGGTAAAAGATATTCTATCTTTTCCATCACTTTTATGTATGTCAAAGAAATATTGTGCCATTTCGTTTCTTACAGCTTGTTCAAGTCTATTATTTTTTATGTAACGAAATGGGCGAGTCCATCTTTTATAATCAAAAAGAAGAGCCACAATATGTTCTTTATTTTCATTTTTTTCAAGGATTTCCAATTCGGAATCAGACCCTTCCAAGTCTGGTTCATTTACCTTCAAGTCCAATTCTTTTTTCCAAAATACCTTTTTCTTCGGAAAAAAGGGAAGGATCTTTTTCAGCGGATTTCTTTTTTTTTTCTACGTCTTTTTCTTCCTCCCTTTGCAACCTTTCCTTTTCCCTTTGTTCTATTTTTGAGACCTCACTAAATTTCTGAGTAGGAATAGGTAAGGGTGTTCTGCCTAAAGACTGAATACTTAGAATACATACTAGAGTTCCAAAACTATAATTTACTAAAATAAAAAATATAGAATTTCTCACTAGGTACTTTCGAATGATCGACCTAATAACATTATTTTTCTGTATCCAGACTGCTAAAAATTCCAAGCAATTTATGACTAAAATTTGTCCCATTCCCCAAGCAAACAAACTGCTTGTTACAAACAACATCTTATTATTACAGCGAAACAGATAAATGCTTACTAATCGGGCTAACGTTGAACTTGGTAAAATGCAAGTGTTAAGCAACTGAAAAATAAGATGATTGAGGAATACAAAGATATTCTCTAGCTCACGGATCGAATTTTGGTTATTAGATCCATAAGCAAAAATTTTTTTTTCAGTGTTCAAGAAAAGCTGAATCAAAAGATAAGGTAAAGCAAGGACAGTTATTGTATGAGGTCTACCCAAAGCTAGATAAAAGGGCGCATAATAGATGGATACGAATCTCATTGAGCTGTCCCATAATAAAACCAGTGGTTGCTGCTACCTTATTATTTGTATTTGTTTCTTTTTCCAGAACCAGAGTTCGCACAAAGAATAAATAAGAGGACCTTATT